ACTATCAAACTTTTTATGCCGCACGTTTAGGATCAGGTAAAGCACAACTGTTGACCAATGGTTTGTGTTTTGAATGACATTATAGTTGCTGCATCAACATCTACTCCATCTTTGGCTTTGTTGTAGGAAGTTTCCATCTCAGGCTTCTGTTTTGTTGAGGTTTCCCTGTCAGTATTTCTATCATGGTGCGATGTTGACATCAGCAGTACCAGTTTGTTTCTCTTTTTTATACATGAAGCCAAAGATTGTACTATACAATTCTGTTTTGATATTGCAGTATTTCATTTGGAATTTCTGTTTTGGTACTGGGTACAGTTAGTTCCTGGGCTGGACAACTTGTGTTATCAGCAAATATAAAATTGACTGGAAACTGGTAAACCAACTGTCAAATGTCCCAAACATAGTGTGGGAGATGGGAGCAACAAGTCTGTTCACAGGATCATTCAATTTATTACTATAAAAGTAAGGGCCTGGTGGTTGAGTTCTAGGATAAATTTCTAAATTGAAACATATAAGGCATTTTCCTCTATAAGGGCATAATTTTTAATGACGTATTTTGAAAGTTTTTTTGGCATGTACTCCCTGAAGTTACACTGGCCATGAAATGCTGCAAGATGTTCATGAACAGTCATGTTTTCAGATGGGAGGTAAACTGCTTGGCGATCACTCACAAATCTGTAAAACAATGACTGGATAGCAGCCAGATTATCAGTGCTTTTTCTTTCTTGGGTGCGGTTTTGTCATCAAACCTCAGGCAATTTTGAAGGAAACCAAATCTCTTCAGTGTCACTATTATTCTACAAATCTCCAGCCCACATCCATCACTTTTCCACAACTCATTTACATTCCTGTGATTACCATGAGAAAGCCCTGCTAAGTACAGCAGACCTGTGAATGCTTTTAGTGCAGCTAGTGAGGTGTCAATAATAAATACATTTTTTTGGTACTGGGGATGAACTCAGGACCTTGCACTTGCGAGGCAGACACAGTGTCACTGAGCTAAATCCCCGGCATAATAAATACATTTCTGGAGTGTGGCTATTGGTGCATACAGAATATTTTACTTGTATTTCAGCCTTTGTGTATTTCACAACATCTTGTAGCATTATTTGTTACAATTTCCAATATTCAGTGGCAGTGCTGGCATTCTGTCTAATAGGTTTCATCTCTGCCTAGGTCCTCACTATATTTTCCTTCCTAGTTCTAACACTGGATCGTTCCATTTGGTGGCGTGATCAATTTGCAACATTTTGAATAGTCAAATATGCACCCACATTACTGTTTTCATCCTCTGAATGAAGGAGCTCTGAATTCCCTGTGTCTGTATCACTCAATTCTTGCTCCATTTTGCTATCACAGGAACTTTGGCTCCTATGGCCAATACCAATGTCATCCTCCTCCTCCTCCTCCTCCTCCTCCTCATTCACCCACACTACTCTTGTGTTTTGAAAACATGTGTTTTACCATAATGGATCATCTTCACCACCCATGCATGCGTAATCTGATTATTTACTTTTGACCTCCAAAATGTGCAAATCTGGTGTTTCATGTGCCAGTGTACTAAACTGGGCACTTTTACCACAAAAATCAAAAGAAAACTTTAAAAAAACACAAAAAATCCTAGAGTGGTGTATGTGTATTTATCCTGTGTGATATTTAGATGAATACATATAAAACTTGTTAGGCAAAACACAATGTGGGTGAAAATCCTGGTTTGATACTTTTGCACAGGTGTACAACCTTGCTGTTCATTTTACTACGTGGGTAAACACAAAGAATGTTTCCTGTATCCTTCAGGGATAGGTACTAAGACTCATAGCAGGCTATTATTATGCTTAAACACAAATTTACATAGAAAAGTATGGTATGGGTATATTTAACCCACTGTAATGCCCCAAAGGTTAAGGAACTGTCAGCTTTCTATAGATGTAACTTCTTGAAGTTCTAATTTTCATTTAAAAGCTTGAATTTTACCTAGAGCCTTGAATATGCTGGTAAAGTGTTCACCACTGAATGGTGTCCTACCCCGCTAAGGATGTCCTTAAGCAAATTGTCCTTCCTCTCCCTGAGTGCGTTGTACGTAAGAACACAATGAACAGCAGTATAGTTTTCTTTGCCTCATCAGAACAGATATGAATACAGTGAAAAAGGAAAATTATTACTATTCAGAATTATCATTCCAATAAACCCCCCAAAGAGTTTCAAAGGGTCCATGGGCTACACTTTGAGCATCCCCAATTTGAAGGAAGTACTTCGGGCAGAGAGAAGGTGATTCCATTAGAAGGTCTGAGATGCAAAAAGAATGAATACCATGCCAGTACATTTAAAAGATATTACTACACAAAAAAGATACATATAATAACATTCAATATAAGGAAGTAGCAGGTGAACAGCTAAAGTATTCTAAAATCTACTATCTGTAATAAAGTGTAGATGTTAACTTTAAAATGTAGTGACTTCTAAGGCAAGACTAGATACAAAGTATATATATCATTTCCATATTAATAGGGATAAATGGAATGATTAAGAAAAATCATCAATCTGATACAGGAAAGAGAGAAAACGAAATACAGAACAGTAAGAGAAATAGCACAAAACAATACGGTGAATACTAACTCTTAAAGAACAATCCTATCATGCAAATGGTCTAAATGGTCCAGTTAGCAGGCTGGGTAAAAGAGTGAAACCCAAATGTGTTCTGTTTATGAGACATGTCTAAGAACAGAAAGGCTGAAGGAGGCTACAAAAAGATGCACAGATACAACGTAGTACTACACAAAACAAACTTTTAAGACAAGAACTACCAGCGACAATAGAGGCTACTTCATCACAACAGAAGGTTTCAATGTGTCAGGAAGGTAATAAAATAATTAAAAATTTATATGAGCCTACGAATATAACCTCAAAATATATGACAAAAATGTCTGTAAGAAACAGACAGTTACAGTGGAGATTTCAGCATACTTATCTCTCTGTGTAACTGAAAGAATAAACAGTCAAAAATCCAGTAGACAAAGTTTTAGGGCTGGGGAATGTAGCTCAATGGTATGGACATTTTAATTTGGGGGAAAGGGCTGGGGATTGAATCTAGAACTTTATGCTTGCTAAGCCGACATTCTGCCACTGGACAATGCAGGCTTTCAGCGGTCACATAAAAAACTGTATTCAAGGGCTGGGGAATTTAGCTTAGTGGCACAGTGCCTGCCTTGCAAGTGCAAGGTCCTGAGTTTGATCCCTGGTAACCCCTCCCCCGAAAAAAAAAACTATTCAATCAATGCAGAATACTTATTCTTTTCCAGAATAAACTGCACAATGAAAAAAAAAAACCTAGCAAACTTTATAAGGCTGAAAACGATTTGAATAATTTGTGTACATATTTGTTAATCCTGCTGCATGGGTAATTTTGTGAAAGAACAGAAAGCTCTTTTTAATCACTGTATTCCCATATAATATGGTAATCATTTAGTAGGCACCTGATAAATCTGAACTTACTAATCAAACAGAAACAAATCTGGTCCTGAAAGAAGTGACGGCCTAGGTAAAACAACACATTTACTTTAGTTTTCTAGCCAATCAAAATCACAGCAAAAAAAATAAAAATAAGCTATACGGTGTGAGAAAGTGTGGGCGATACACAATATGAATAAAAGGAAGTGAAGGAATTAAACACTGACTGTAGGCTAGGAAGCCAGGGGACAACCCAGACGTTTTCAATTGTCAGCTTAATGGAGTAATTTGAGGTGAGGGAGAAAGAGAGAGGAACAAAAGGAGGACAAAAAGCACAAAAAGAAGGAAACAGCACTAGGGCCTATATGAGCATGGTCAGAAATAAGCCTGAACATCTATGTTAAGAAGTCACTCTTAGGCCGGGGATGTAGCTCAGTGGTTCTGGTGCCTGCCTCACAAGCACAAGGACCTGCCTTGGATCCCTGGTACAAAAAAAAAGTCACTCTTTAAGGAAAACAGCAGGACTGATGGATGAGGGGCTCAGAAAGCTATTTACAAAGAATTTATTATTTTGTTTCAATTTTACTATTTGTTAGCTATCTTGGTGGAAAGTGTTTCTTGGAGGTAAAGACAAACTATTGTCTAAAGGAGCTCAATTGTGAGTGGTAAAATGGTATCATTTGGTCTTTTTTCTTTTGAGAGAAGGTCTGGATATGTTTCCAGCTGGCCTCAAACTTGTTATATAGCCCCGGCAGTCCCTGAACTCTCTCTCAGTCCTCCTGCCTCAGGTTCCAGTGCTGGGGTTACAGGTGTGCACCACCAAACCAGGCAAAGATGGCACAATTTGGGGTATGTCACAAACTTTAAATCCTACAGTGCTTTAAGACTGGTAAAACAAGACAAAATAATGCACCCAAGATTTTCTAGGCATTTCCTCAAAGCAAAAACCACAAAGGGAAATAGTGATTTGATTGCACAATTTTGAATGGCACAAATATCATAAGCAAAGTTAAAACACAAGACAAAATGAAAAAATGATTTGCAATGTGCAAAGATAAAATATTCACTCAAATAAAAGGAAAAAACTAACACATATTTAAACATGATCAAAGAACAGAATCAAGTAAAACAGTAATATGAGGGAAAAAACATTCTGTCTTCACAACAAAGACAACCATCATATCAATAAAGGCTCCCTGCCTTGGTACTGGGGATCGAACCAGGCTTTGGCACTAAGTCACAGCCCCTGTTTTGATTTTATTTTGAGACAGCATCTCATTAAGTTGCCCAGGCTGAGCTTGAATTTGCGATCCTCCTACCTCAGGCCCTAGAGTGCTGGGTTTACAGGCATGCGCCACCACAGTCAGCTAATAAGATCCACATTTAAAAGGAAAGGTGAAGAAGACCAACACCAACTGTCGAGAATGGGGAACAGGGGGTGGTTGGAACGGTATTTCTGAAAGTCTATCAAACGCTTAAAAATGCACCAACTCTTGACCGTCAACTCCACTTCTATAGATTTGCCCTGAGGAAACTGACAATTATGCGAGGATATGAGGTAAGAAAAAAACATTATTTGCAACTCAGTCTATTATTGCAAAAAAAAATTAATAGAATGACTATCATTTAAAATACCCTAGGGCTGGGGATTTAGCTCAGAGGTGCTATGCCTGCCTGGCAAGCGCAAGGTCCTGAGTTCCATACTCAGTACTGGAAAAGAGAAAAAGAAAAAAAATACTGCAAAACAGGGAATTAATCAAATACAAGATGACCACAATGCCACGTTCTTCTTAGAAGTGGTGATAAACACACACACACACACACACACACACACACACACAAAATCCTATATATACTTTCTAAAAAGTAGTAGGTAATATGCATGAGAATCCAACTTTTATATGAAATAAGAAAGCAGACAAGATTATATTCTGTGTAGTCTGAAAGAAATTCAAAAGAATATATACCAAGACATCTAGAAATTGCCTCTATAAAGCAGAATTACAGAGGACTTTCAAATTTTGGCTTATCTATAATTTACATATACAATCTATGTAATGAAAATAAGGAAAAAAAGAAAAATACTGTCACAATATAAACATTTAAAATGTCAATGGGAATTTTAAAATGATGCTTTGAGTTGTACACATAATTTGTTCACCTTTCTTGTATATACGTTGTACTTTATTTATTGGAAAAAAGTGCTATCTTGGCTAAAGCCTTTTAGACAAATCACCGTAGTTCATTCCTAAATTGATGGACTAAAGCCCCACGCTAAATCAAAGAGCTGTACAATCTAGTGTATCTAAACTGCCAACATAGCCATTAACAGAGATCAAGAAGAGAAGAGCCGAGGGAGGAGAAAACAATCTCACATAACTATGTCAAACCTCATAAATATACTAAAAATAATACACAGTTACATACACAGTTAGATAATAGACTGGAATAGCCTTTAGATAGTGCAAGGTAATTTATACACACATATGTACATATACACATTACAGACCTCACTCAAGTTGTATGTACGTATGTGTGTAGTAGCACTAGGGATCGAACCCAGGACTTCACACATGCTAGGTAAGCGCTCTACCACTGGGCTAATTACATCCCCAGCACACCCCCCCACCTTTTTTTGAGAAAGGGTCTTGCTGAGTTGCCTAGGCTAACCTTGAACTTGCCACCTTTCTGGCTCAGCCTCCTGAATAACTGGGACTATACAAGCAGACCACCATGACCAGACTCAACTCTTTGGAAATTCCACAGAAAATTAACTAGAGTTTGAGTTATTTTGACGTTAGCTTTTAAGTGACTTGTGGTAACTGAATACATGGTTTTAAAAGTAATCATTTTATTTCTTTAATTTTAGCATTAAAGAAAAATATATAAGAGTATGACATAATAGTTTCTTATTCCAGGTGAGATAAACGATCAACACTTAATCTAATTTGATCATGGTAAAAGTAGTTTTACATTCCAACAGGCTACCTCACTGTTCTCCACTGAGACGGTGCTTTGCCTCCTGAAGTACCACCACCTTTCCCCTCCTACTTGACTGCATAGTCCGCTATTCTCCAGAGGTGTACACTGAATGCAGCATCTGGGGAGAAAACAATACTGCCCACATCTGTGTCCCATGATGGCTCCGTGCTGCAAACATTACAGCTTTGGGGAGATTTGGTCACAGTGCCCTAACTGCTGCGAACACTGGTGTTATTCAAACAAATGTGCAGGAAGAGGGACTTTCAGCAGGGTTTCTTTACCTGTATCTCCACCACAAAACAGTGAAGTAAACAGAATGGGTTACGAGCAGCTTGGCCTGTAATGCAAACTCACAGGCTGACAAGTCAATAAAGAGCCAGCCAGCCCTGCCTGCCCAGCCCCAGAGCTCTAAGGTTAGCAGCAAACACAGTTTGGGTAGGTTCTGCACAGGGGTTTTAATGCTTCTCATTATTCAGCTATTGTGTGCAAACACTATGAAACCAGTAATCTAAATTATCAAGTCCAAATAACTGGCTACTAAACTGCATGTAAAGTTCAAAAGTTCCCCACAATGGCTTACTTATTTACCCCTAAGAGTGAATGGCCACTTTTAAGTAGTTGCAAAATGACACCACAGGTAAAAACTATTATAATCATTTCCATGAATTTTACATCATCTTTTGGAAAGGTAAATTCTTCACTGGAGAAAAACTGCCCTGGTGAAAATATGTTCCTTATACCTCAATTCACTTTTCTCTTTCAGATTTAAATTTCTAATCAATGTCAGAAACATCCCCACCTTTAGAAACTTGATTCCCCAAGGGGGAAAAATGAGAACCAAGACCTGTCATGTAGAGGTACAAGATCCTAATAATGCATGTTTAACTGTACTGTATACCTAAAATGTACCTATAAACTCAATTAAAAAAAAAAGAAACCGATTCCCATATTTTCCTCACAAGACATTTAAAAAACCCCACAAAAAACAGTAACATCACTATAAAACTTAGTAAGTCAGGCAGCCTTCATATATTTACTTTGTCAATGTTACTGAAAGTAATGTTGGGGGCACATGCTTGTAATCCCAGCTTTTCAGGAAGTTGAGGCAGGAGGATGGCAAGTTGCAGGCTAGCCTGGGCAATTTTAAAAAGACTGCCTTAAATAAGGACACAGCTAGATGGTTTCCAGGTTCAATCCCAGTGCCACCACCCCTAGAAAAAAAAGCCCCCAGAAATATTGAGTCCGAGTATGTAGTCAACGAGCCTCCAGGATATTGCTGTGTCCTGTTGTGCCTGGCCATAAAACTCCCCGAGGCTTCCGCCTTGCTCTCTCTTGGAGCACTTGCTGGGGCAAGGCCCCCCCCACTGCCCACAGCCCCAGGGCCTCTCCTCACAGCCCCAGCTGTGAGCCTGGTGCAGATACATCGACCTCAGTCTCCCAGAGGCTTTAGGGTGATGGTGGTCAGGGTCTGCGGCTTGATAACACCCAAGCCTCAAATTCTCCAAGAAACTATGAATAAATCACCAAGTCTGGGGGTTATTTGTTGGGTGGAAATAGAAAACTCACACATCAAATATTCAATTTCTTTACCTCAGGTACACGAATGAATATTCAGAATTTGGGAGAAATTATATTTTAGAGAATCAGCACTTAAGATGTCGACTGTATCACAGTCATTTCCATATTTTACATTGATCAAATACCCAAAGACAATTATAAGAATTGGTTTTATGTTGATTCTTCAAATCAATCATTATACCTTATTCTTTTTGATCCTCACAGCACAAATTTTAACATTCATATAATTATAAAACAACTATAAATGGATTTAATTCCTCAAGCTCATGGCTTGCCTCTTGAATATTTACATCATCCCATAAAATGGGTATTTTATCTCGTGATAGCCCAAGTACATATCAAGTAGCAAACATTTTATCTTTTAATGCAGGCATGACCTATTTGAAAAATGAAACAAATTGCATGAAGTAATTAGAGAAAAACACAGCCATTAAAGAATCTACATTTCCAAGGGAGAGCCCCAAATGATTAAAGTTTTATTGTCAAATGTTCCAAATCTGTAAAATACCCTAAGAAGGCGTTGTACTTCGATAAGCAATGAATAATGCACATTTCCCTGTATTTGCAAAAAAAAAAACACACTAGAATGATACTAGTGGAGACTAATCGATAGTCCTCAGGGTAAGGAATGGAAAGGGTAAAAGGAAAGGGCTGGGCAGAGAGACCTCTCTGAGGTCCTCTGGTCACACAGCTTCAAGTTTGCAGTCAGGTAAATAAATGATCGACATATCATAAAATTAAATTTAAAAATTTGCCTTTGAAGTGAAAATAAACAGAAATGAATGAGCCTTGATGTGTATCATGCTGGAGAAAAATCATTTCAGGTGACTTTAGGAGGACACCATTTTGTTTTGTTCACACATCCACAGTAAAATTGAAGAGCAAACACAGGAAAAAAAATCTTTACCCTCACCGAAGTCTTATTGGCAGTAACTACTAAAATAGTAACACTAAAGTATTACTACTTTCAGACTACTTTATACAGTGCCCATAAATTAAAGCAAATAACTAATTATGATATTATTGATTTCTAATATAAAAGATACAGAAATAAATTCAAAGAAGCAACAGTAATGTTAGGCTTGAATTGGATATAAACATAAATATAGGGCCGGGGATTTAGCTCAGTGGTGCCACCACCTGCCTTCCAAGCACAAGGTCCTGAGTTTGATCCCCAGTACCAAAAAAGAAAAGTAAGTGTAAACTTGTAAACTTATTTCACATACTCCTCTTTGCTAGCTCTGTCCTTTCTAAAGGTTAAGAAGTAATGACATCCCAGCAGCAGGGGACTCTTTTAGTGGCAGATTATGATTCCTAAAAAACATTCCCCACTAAAGGAATCACTGTTTCTTAAAGGAATAGCTAAATCCAAGTCTGTGCAAATACACAAAGATACAGAGAAAAATTCTAGAAGATAAACTCGAATCTTTGTAACAGAAAGTAAAAAAAGTTATCCAATACAATGGTCTTCCACTGAGATCTGCAGGTGACATAAAGGAGTTACTATTGGTCAAGATGGAGCCATCTGAACATGAAAAGAAAGAGGAGAGCAGGTGAAGGGAGAGAGACCAACTCCTACCAACACCTTAGTAGTATCAGTCGGTACGGTGATATCGACCCCATCAATTCCGCTCTCTCAAGAGTGGCAAGAAAAGTGGAGGATGAAGCATTTCTCTTGCCTCTCCTGAATGATGTATATTTCAGGGTAAGCAAAATAGAGAGATAAATGGGGAACTCTCAATATGGACCAGATAAAAGCAAGCAAGCGTTCATACATTTGATGTATAGCATTATGATTATATAAGAAAACAACCATGTCTTTAGATCTGCATACTGAAGTGTACAGAGCTGAAAGGCCAGTCAGCCTAGATTTGCTTGGACATGTTAGAGGACAAGAAAAGAAGAAAATAGATCAAGCAGGTAAAACAACATTTTGGTAACTATTAAGTCTATCTAGGTGATGAGTATCTGAAAGTGCACCATTTTGTTTTATATTTGAAAATGATTTTTTAAATGTACAAAGTTTTAAAGAACCGTCAATATGCATTTTGTTTGGTTGTTTGGTACTGGGGATTGAACTCGTGTCCTTGTCCTGCAAGGCAGGCAGCAGAACCACTGAGCTAAATCACCGGCCCTCAATATACATATTTTTTGGTACTGGGGATCAAACTCAGGACCTTGTGCTTGTGAGGCAGGCTGTGGAACCACTGAGCGAAATCCTAAGCTGTCAATATGCATTTTGTCCAAAATGACTTAGGATTATAAAATATAACAAAGTTAAGGTGCATATTTACCATTATATCAATAGAATACTATGGAAATTTTACTTCCTTTTTCCAAATTTTATTCACCCTTTAGGGCTCTACACAAATCCTACTTGAGCGTGCGACCACTTCAGGAGTCAAGAATCGAAGGTTTAGAGTTGGTCATAACGGCAGGTGAAGAAATTAATGAAGACTATCCAGTAGAAATTCATGAGTATTTGTCAACATTTGAGAATTCCATAGGTGCTGTGGATGAGATGCTGAAGACCATGATGTCTGTTTCAAGAAATGAATTGTTGCAGAAGTTGGACCCACTTGAACAAGCTAAAGTGGATTTAGTTTCTGCATACACATTAAATTCGATGTTTTGGGTTTATTTGGCAACTCAAGGAGTCAATCCTAAGGAACATCCAGTAAAGCAGGAACTGGAAAGAATCAGAGTACACATGAACAGAGTCAAGGAAATAACAGACAAGAAAAAGGCTGGCAGGCTGGACAGAGGTGCAGCTTCAAGATTTGTGAAAAACGCTCTCTGGCAACCAAAATCTAAACATGCAGCGAAAGCTGCCAATAAAGGAAAAAGTAAAAATTAACTTTTTGGTTTTGATGTACACATACTCAAAAAGTACATCATTTTTATTGTTTTCACAACATAGATGATTTTGTGGCAAGGAGAGGTTTAAACTTACTCTTTTTGGAATTTGTATTGAAATTTACACTTTAAATTTGGTTTTACCCACCAGAAAGATTGACTTATCTTTATTGATTTTCCTATAGAGCACTGTGAGGTTTTTAACATTGTGATTTATATCTATAGTTTACTATCTCTTTTGGCAAGATAGTCACTTCTCTATATAGGTCAGTCTTGCAAGCACCATTTTATAAGCAACTATGAAATGTAAGTTAAATGTTCTTTGTAACATTTGTAGTCATTTGTACTATTTCAAATGAATAATTTATGAAGTATGCTATCTCTAGACTGAATTTTAAGTACATGTGTTTTTACTATATAGTATTAATGAAAAGGCTTAAATATCTACTTTTTTCTGTGTGGTTAATTCATTATGTTTTCATTGTTGCAGGAATTATTGCTTTTTTGGTATTCAAAGTGTGAAATTAAAACTTTAAGATTGTACTTTAATTCTTGGTATATTGCCTCACCATCATATTTACAATAAAATATAGTCCTATTAACCTTAGGTGGAAAATAAGGTTGTATTTGATGGCTGGCTGTTGGTCTGATGATTGTACCTTCTTAATAAAGGCTCTACATGTTGAAAACCATCCTACTTTAAGGCTTGCTAGAATGTAAACCCCACGTACAGCAAATGTGTGAATGCATGAAGGAGAAGCAGGCAGGCAGGGAGGCTTCCTAACCCCACCTGGAAGTAATCACGGTGAACTTCCACATAATCTCAGAGGCACCTCTTTTACTCTTCAACACCTTCAGCCTCCCCATGATGTTTAAAAATGATGTTTCTGAAAATGGACCTCTGATTCAAATTTCCATTTTCATATCTATCTCTTGATACCTTTTATGCTACATATAAAATTAAAATTAGTATTTTTTTAAATGCAGATTTACTTTTTAAAAATGTAGACCTCGAGGGTGTTGTCTAGGGCACTTTCGGGTTCTTTTCAAAAACCAAATTCTCGGGCTGGGGATTTAGCTCAGTGGTTCCAGCGCCTGCCTCACAAGCACAAGGGCCTGAGTTCGATCCCCGGTACAAAAAAAAAAAAAAACTCTGGAGTCATAACTTCTAAAATACATCATGGTTTCAGAATTGCTTTTGCTTCTCTACTACCAATATATGGGTATTAGTAAGAAAAAGCAAAGCCAAATGAAACTGAAAATTTAATGTGGATGAAAATTTACTTTCAATAGTGCCAGAACCTACAATCTGTGCAAGAGGATACTTTTATATAAAAACATGGCAAAGTTGTAAGTTAACCATAAGATATACATACATACATATATATAGATAGACATAGATATATATACACACACATATATATATATAGATATACACACACACAGACACATTGTTTTGTTGAGAGAGGATATCACTGTGTAGTTGAGACTGACCTGAAACTCACTGTGTAGCTCAGGCTGGTCTCGAACTCACAGCAATCCTCCTGCCTCAGCCTCCTGAATGCTAGGATTACAGGCATGCACCACCATGCCCGGCTACCTTTATATTTTTTAAAGTATCAAATAACATCCCAAGTTATTTGAAAACATTAAAAGTAATAAGATAATATTCAGTGAACCTGAAAAATGAAAAAGACTGTGAATAAGATTGTATCTCACTCACTAGAGTGCTATAAAAAATTCAGTCATTACTGAAGTCATGCTTGGAAAATCTAACATTAACACTTCAAAATATATTAAACATTTAAAACAGCTGCTGTTTTCACCAGAGATTCTACATGAATTCTTACTTTCCTTTGTTAATACCAGGGAACAAAATATATGACATATACAATAATATAATATATACATATTTAAGATAAACACACATATATTCATCTGTGTGGCTAAAACAAGTAAAAAATGTGTATATATGTGTTATATAACCCTTTCAGTGTTACTGTAAGTAGACTGTCTAATATTATACACTGGATAATATAAAGTGATCTTCCAAAATGAAAGTGAAGACATTCCAGTAATTGATTTGGAAAAAAACATGTGCAATGGTTAAACTGTAACATGAGATAAAAGCATATCTTTTCATAACCCAAAGGAACAAATTTGTTACAAAGAAACATTAATAAAATACTTAATGAATAAAATAGTTTTGTTTCTTTGGGATGGAAGGAACCTTCATGAACAAGAGTATTCATTAAAAAAGTAAGGTGGGCATGGTGGTGTACCCTTGTAATCCCAGCACACAGGAGGCTGAGGCAGGAGGATCAGTGTGAGTTCAAGGTCAACCTGGGGTACACAGTGAATTCAAAGCCAGGCTGAACTATATAGTGAGATCCTGTTTCAGGAAAAAAAAAGTATCCATAAAAGTTTGAAGGTATATATACCTGTATAACAAAACTTCTAAAATTTTCTGAGTCAAGACAAGAAATTATTCCACTGACAAGATTCACACTAAAAGTCATTCTAGAAGAGAGAGACAGAATAAGAAGAGAAGAGATGAGCATAGCTCTTAACCACTTAAAGATCAGAATAAAGGATTTATTCAACAAGTCAGCTGCAAACCATAGGATTTAGCTGTGTGTTTCAGAGAGCTGCCTGAGATTTTACTTTGGTCCTCTCATCTCCTCCAAGTTTTACCTAGCGTCCTCTGACTTCCAGGACGAACCAGAAGGGCAAGACAGGTTTCCAGCTCAGGCAGAGGGAAAGTGAAGACAGACCGGAAGCCGGCTGCACTCTTCCCTTCGTGAGGACCTGTGTGGAAGTGCTCAGCACCTCCTGCCTTCCCAGTGTCAGAGTCCTGCAGCGTCGTAATCCTGAACCGACTGACCGGTAATCTCGTCATTGTTTTAAGTTAGATTTTTACTACAGGGTCCACAAATAGCTGGATAGCCAGATGCTGGGCAATCTGAAAGAGAGTAATCTTTCTTCTCACAGTTTCTTTCCAATTATGTAACGATAATATTTGAAACCACATGTACTAGTGGACAGCTGCATGTATGCATAAAGGGAAAAAGTTCACATTAGGAAGGCCAGAAAAAAGCAGCAAGATTTACCTGGTCAATTCTGAAAGTGGCCTAAATTTATGAGGCAAAAGTGAAACTCCTCATATTTGTTATTAGTCAAATAAAACAATGGAAACAATTTTTTAAAAAAGTAGCAAGACATTCTGCCATACTTGTTTGGCATGGTTTGATTAGAAAACAAACAAAAAACTGGAACATGGCCATTTACCCTTACAATTCTGACTTAATCATTTCGTTCATCTTAGCTCAAAGCAAACGAGCCTAACAGCATTCATTACTCTCTGTACATACACAGATTAATCAGTACTTCCCAACTGAGTCACAAAGCACATTATAGCTATGTTCAGAAATGGGTTAAAGTTCAAAATTAGTCAGAAGTACTCAACAGTTTTCTAAAATCACAAAGAAAGCAATTATTTGTAGTATTAAATTTACACGAGAAATGCACTCCAAGAAAACTTCATCTGTGATGGAGACCCTGTCAAGGACTGACCGGTCTCAGTAAGTACCTGGGGACAGCCTGAGTAATCATGTGGAGGACAGTATTTCAAAATGGAAGGCTGCTCCTGGAGGGAGGCCTTCTAGAAAATGCACACACAGGCCTATTAGGGAGAATGGGTCTAGCTGTCATATAAAATTAGTAGCAGTTGCCCAAAGTCTTGCTAAATTTTAGAACCATCAGATTTCATGAATTCTTATATATAGGGTCATTTCATTGATTAATGGAAGGAATTTTAATTGCTACAATCTTTGGATGATATCTGGCACAATAAATTTCAAATTTTAAATATTCACACTCTTTGATTTAGCAACATTTGAACAAAGATAACTTTATATGTTATTGCAAAATCTGGAACAACTCAAATGAACAAAAACATGAGGATGACAGGACACCTAAATTATCATAAAACAGTAAAATTTAATACCTTATCCTAGGTAGAGGAAAATAGCCATGGTCTATTATTATGTGAATAGGAGGAGGAACAAAACACAAGCTGTAGAGTAGTATATCTAAGATATTCCTAAAAATTAAAAAAATATATACAAAGAATAGCTAGCAGTGGCTATCTTTGGGAAAGGAAAGGGCTTGGGGGAAAGATCTGTTTTCTAAGTTAACACGTTTCTAAACAATTACTTTTTTTTTTAGATAAAAACTTTGTGTATTATTTTTGTAACCAGAAAAAAACAAAAACAAAAACAAAATACAAAGCCAAATACTTACATATTTAGTAGCACTTGTTCAAAATTTTTTCTTAAAAGTCCCTTTCCTTATTATACCTGAATTTATCTAAAATACACAAAGGAATACACGTAACACCTTAATGAGAAGCACTTATCTTTAAAGTAAATGTTCACAACACTAAAAAGAGGAAAATACACAGCTAACATTTATTGAAGGTCTGTTATGTCCTAACCAGGAGATGAACTGTTTTGTTTCCCAGATACTTTTACATAATTCTCATTTATGAAAATCCTAGCTGCAGCTGGTACAGTAGTGCACAGTTCCAGTTACCTCAGGAGCATGAGGCAGGAAGAGCACAAGCTTCAAGCCGATGTGGGAATATAGCAAGACCTTGTCTCTTATTTAAAAATAAAACAAACAAGAAATCCTAGCTCCACACATCCCGCCTGCCACGCTAATAGTATCTTTGCCTGTGGTGAGTTATGGAACCCTGTGAATAAGGCTATGGGCATCTTTTCCTTGTTTGGTACTACTGACCACTTGTGTCTAAAAAGAGAACAGTTATCCCAGTTTGAAGATGTGGAATCAAAATTACAAGGTGTCAAGATTTCAAGTGAAGATCCAAGGACAGGGTCCTTTGCTTTCCATTGTTTAGTTCAGTTTGGGAAACCAGGGAGGCGTTCATATCTTATTTTTCAGGCTTTCCCATCTGGTATGGCAACAGGAATAAAATCTCCG